AAATAACGAAATGGTCATAAACCTGAGCTGCACTTCTCAAGTCACATGTTCCGTTTCATTTTTAAAGAATCTAGAAACAAACTAAGCAGTTGATAACAGGTCAGTTGCAGGTGATAAAAGATATTTTAGATGGGACATTACTTCTTTTTCCACACCTTGCATAACCATGTTATATCTTTTGCATAGTTTTCTTTAAGCACTAGTATGTTTGTTCATAAACATATGGCATAAACAATACATTGCTATTTGAATTCCAAGGAAACAATACATTTTTAAAGATAGTCACCATATGTGATACATTCTTCACTGGAAAAAATACTGATGCTAGATTATTTTTTTTTTAATTTAAATAAAAAGGATGGCTTACTTCTAACTGAACCTTATCATTAAAACATAGTAGACCTTGCAAAACAAGAGTGTTTCTTTAAATATTATTTGTAGATTTGCAATTGGACTAATTTAATAGAATCAAGCATGTAAAGTACTCTTGAAATTGTCTTGATTTTTTTCACACAAAGTTATGGAGAGTGTTTTAGAAAAAGTGGTAATCTACATGGCACACTGTCAGAAGAAGCTAAAATAAGTCCGGTTATTAAACATTCTAAATTTTAATCACACCATTATTTTTAATAACCATGTTCACTATAAAAGGCCAGATTTTTATCTAGTTACCAATCGAGGAATCCAGCACTTGTGAATAACCATGAATCATATTAATTATAGCTATCCTCAAATTTATAAAATAAACTAAAGATAATTGTAAATTTTGTTTCTAAAAATCCATTATGCAAGTTCTATTCTGGGTTGGTGACCCCTGGGAAATGCTTGAAAAATGCAGTATAGTTATTGTTTTTTAGATTATTATGCTTTTTTGAAGCTAAGACAGATGTACAAAAAGATGCAGTTTTTATTTTGTATTGGCAGCTTCCAAATATTTAGTATCTATTTCCAAGAGCTGCAATTAGTAAAGCATCCATGGTACTGAAATCCACACATCCCACAAGCTAATTATATTTGCAAGGTCAGATTGAATACATATTTTCAGAAAAATAAAGGGTTATATAAATGTGTCTTCTACTTGGCTGTTATATCACAGTTTGTTGATCTGGAGTATAATGTGTACAATTCACAAATTTGTCTGATAACAGAAAGTGGTGTGTGATTGTGTTTATTTTACTAACCAGTATATTCACAGCAATCACTTCCAAATATCTCTCCAGTAAAGATGTGTTAATTACAAAACAGACAAGGTCTTCTATTATATTAAAGCTACTAACAAGAAGACAGCAGGAATCACACATGTAAATAGCATCATCAACCCCTATTTTAGTCCTCTGTTTTGATCTGTGAGTTGCGCATAGACCAAAGGTGCTATTAAAGACTCAGTATATGAAATAGGCAGCATTATATGAACAAAATTTATTCAACAAGAAAACAGACCTTTAACATGAATTTAACAAGCCTGAGAAATTATAAACTCTCATATGCTGCAGATTCATGCAGTGATAATAAACAAAAAAGGAAAGTAAGAGGTTTCCTTAAGCTAGCCAAACTGCTAATGGTTTTGTTATAAGCTGTCTGCTGTTGAAATGACCTCTGAAAAGTCTGAAGACACTTGTACTCAGAGAAATTAAATGGTCAGAGTGGTGAAAGAGTTGCACTGCAGAAGTGCATTTGAAAAAAATCCTACCTTCCTATTTCTGGAAAATATCCCAATGCAACAGACTTTTGTTTAACTTTTATGTCTATAGAAAGAGAATTTAGCATGAAGCTTGGAAATTGTACTTTTTACTAACAGATCACAAGATGCATCAGATAATTTAAGTGTAATGACAACTTAAAATTTTTGGATGAGAAATACCAACTTCTTATCAAAAATCCATGTAACTAAGAGTTTTTTTTTTTTTTCTTTTAATTAATCCTTACAGGTTCTTTGTTCAAAATACCATATCTAAAGTTTCCATCATAACATACAGGATGACCATGTTGCTGTCATCTGATTGCATCATGCTTTACTTCAAGATATGCAAAGATACAGGGCAGACTTCAGCTTGTGTGCACCTACAAGTGCTTACTGGGGCTTAATTAACACCTAGTTCACCCATTGCTCATTAGTAAACTGGACATTAATGAGTCTATTTATTTTGGTATAATCCTCTAAAAGAGGAACTGATTTGTTCTCACCATGAAAAAAGCAATTATATTTGGTAGAAGCCAATATGTAGGAATTGTTGTTGTATTTATGCTTTTATTGCGTATTAGGTCTAAATTTAGCCTCCAGGTTGTTGAGCATGTTAGTTTCTTTAAGATGGTTGCTATAGTGATAGCAGCAAATTCCTTTAATCTTAGTGTAGTTAAAATATTTAGTTATCATTGGTCGTCATCGTGCAACTCAGACGAGAAATACCATCCACCTGCGTATTCGTGGTGCCCTTCTGAGGTTGTAGGAATTACGGTTTGACCTCAGTAGTTCCTACCGCTTCCTGTTAGTGCGGCCTGCCCAGCTGAGGAGATGTGGTACTTCAGGCCTCACGCCCAGGTAGAGCCCAAGGCCTACCAGAAACCACTTGTGGTCAGAGGGAAGACACTAGCTTGATAGTCACTGTCATTCTCAAATATTTCAGCAGCTAGTTCTCATGTTTTTCTGTGAAATATATCCGAACATAGCCTTGAGAACACTTGAGTAAAATGTTGAATTTATTATCAAAAAAAGTTTAATCTGTTGTTGTCATTATTATTATATTTTCCTTCTTGTTTCACATGGCTCTAGAACCAAACCAAATCCATGGTTTATGAAGCTATTCGTTTTTGGATAAGCTCAACAGTATTTAGTGAATTTCTCATTCAAATTCAATCAAGGAGCACGGCCACTAAGAACTCAAGTTATAAAGCAGCTCCTCACAATTTTGGGATAGTGCCCTGCAGATGTTTCTTGCTCCTCAGGGTAAATTTTTATTTGCTAGATTTTTTTCCCCTTGTCTAGCTTGTCCCTGGAGACCTGCGGTGTGGATTTTTTTTTTTTGCTTGACTTTTTAATTTATACTGCCTGTTTATTATGGTTGGGCATTTCCAGGTGTTCATAAATTGGAGCATCTGGTTAAAATGGAACATGGAGAGATAAATACAATAGCTTGTCACAGGCATTTTGAGATAGAGAAAAATCTGTTAGTAATAAAAAAGGAAAAACACAATTACTTTATATCTTTCAACAATTAAAGTATAGGTATATAGAAACTATTTAAGATCATTTTGAGAATTAATTTTTTTTAAATAATTCGCTTCATCAGCATTAATAGAAGACGGCATTTTTTCTTTACTGCATATTAAAAGTAATTAGTTTTTATTATTTTTCAAAAGGGATTGCCACTGTTAACTGACATTAATTGGGTCGCTATCTAATATTTTAATAAAAACATGTTTTGTACACTTTCTGCAGGCTTTTTTAAGACATGATATATGCAGAATATATATATCATATATTGGGCAGACACAGCTGGCGAGGTAGCTGAGAGTCTGCCCTGTAGGCCATAGTGGTACTGAGTTACTCAACACAGATGAAATAGTTTGGTCTAAAAAAATAACAGTGATGGGTTACTAGTCTTTTTGAGTTTAAAGTTGGATAAATATTAATTTTATTTAAATACCTGCCTAAACAATTAACTTGCATTAATTTTATTTACACGTGAATAACCTCAGTGACCTCAATAATTCTATTATAGTCTTAATCAAATTGCATATGTATTTAGTTAACATTGCTGTAAATCAAGAAGAAAATGCTAGAATAATGTTAGGAGACCTGATGTCACTTTCTCTGCAGACTTCTAGTAGCAAACAGTGTTTGATTTTGTGCTTGTTCAAGACAAAAGATTTGATTCAGCTCTAATTCCTCAGAATATCAAACTAGTCATATAAATGTATTTGTCGTTGGTCATAGTATGGAGAGGAAGAGAATAAAAATGAGTGCAGTAAAAGCACTAAAATGAGATTTAAACTATTTAGCTAAAAGAACTGGGATAACTCCTCAAAGCTAGACAGAAAAGATGTCTGCGAGTATGGTGAGAGCTATTTGTGGGGCGGCATACAGCTGTGTTTGACCACAAGTCTGGCTTAAAAGACCAGGGCCCAAACAAGAAAGGTCAGCTTGAGGTTAATCTGTAATGGCGAGTACCCAGCAAGAGTAGCTTCACGTGTGTTGCTGGTATGTTCTCAGCTCCACCTGACATAGACATTGGATAGGTGATTGGGTTTTATTCTATGGGCCATGCCTTACTATTTCCAACTATTTTAATAGACAAATTCAGCACAGGACAGAATAAAAATCAGTGACGGCTTTCATTTATTTGCAAAGAAATAGCACTGAATGCTACCTACTGTGTACCTTTAAATCATAAATGACCTTGGTTTTCTTTTACTCTATTTTTTATTCTTGAGCATGACACTGACAAGGACTTTTTAATCCATCAGACAGTTTATAGACCCTTTCGTAGTCACAAGAAGCAAAAAGCATCTGACTAGAAGGGAATACATGGGGCAAGTTCCTTGCTGGCTATAATTTTGTTGTCATTTCAAGTATTGTGGTAGTATAATTGATGTGACAGGACTGGGCTTTAGACTCGGTCCCTTAGCTTGTGCTCACTTTCAGTTTTAGTCTCTCTCTGTCATTCATTTTGATTGGATAAGATTTAGGTGACAAACATATGCATACCTTTGAAGCTTAGAGTAAGCATACATAAAAATTCAATGTTATCTGATTATATCATGTATATAAAACTTACAGCTCCATGGAAAAGGTAGTAATTGGTGTCACCTTACAATACAAGGTAGTATAGTGTGCTGATAGCATAGCCAGCAGGAGGCTCTTTTTTATTAATATTATAATTAAATGATTTTCTGGATAAAGGCCAAAAACAGATGAGAGTTGATTGTGCCTTGTCCACTGTTGCTTGGCACTATTAGCTGCATTTTCTAAAAAGAATTGACTTGACATCTTGTTTTTACAGGTTGTTATTGATGCCTTCAGATTGATCAATGCTAATATGATGGTCTTGGGACATGAACCAAGACAAACAACTTCAAATCTGGGTCACTTAAACAAGCCATCTATCCAGGTAAACTCAGTGTTGATAGTCCTGTGAATTGCAGGATCTTTCCAGCAATTTTGGGGGAAGGTGCCTAAAAACAGTAAGCTATAAATTTATTGTTCTCTCTTTAGCATTTTTCTGCGAGCATTTGGAGTTGATGTGATTCATCAATAGAGTTATATATATGAAGAGTTTAAAGTTGGGCCCTAAATTAACTGAGCGTGAATGCCTGTATAATTAAATACTGCAAAGGTTAAAGTACTGATTTATCAAAATGCAAACTTTTAAAGTAACAATTGATGCCATACTATGTGAGGCAAGATAGGTAAAAGATTATCCATTTTCAGTAATGTAATTTAAAACATTCCTTATTAGCATGTCCGAGCTTTCTTAAATATAAATTATTCTGAAGCAAATTATGTAAAAAGTTTATTATATATTAATGATGTTGCCTTTCTGCTGTATGCATATAAAGTTTCTTGCTTAATATGTAATCTAGATTTAACATTGTATTATGTCTTAAAAAATCATTTTGAGATGATACAGTAATTTGGAGAAAAAATGGTGGAGTAGGAGATTCAGTGGATTGTTTGGTTGTTTCAACTATAATGCTTTCTTTGAGAATATTGTCTTGTATTTCTCTGCAAGCATTTGTGAAATTCAACATTCAAAGTTTGGTTTCTAAAGTTGATGGTTTGACTAGTGAGACAAAAATGTTGGTCTTCAGTGAAGCAAACTTTTGTTTCAAGAAAAAGCTTCTGATCTGAAGAAAGTATTCTCAAGAGTGATTTATGCTTTTATCTGTGTCATTCTTCTGCCTCAATGTCTTATCCTTTTTTCTCCCCAGAAAACTTTTTTCCCTTGCTATTCCCATGCATTCTAAAAGGCATGTGTTCTGGCACACATGAGTCAAAATTCATAGAATCAAAGAATCGTTTTTTGTCTTCTGATCTATTACTTAAACAATCAAAGCAATATCTGCTAGATAAACATTTTAGGCAAAAGACAGTATGTTACTCATGGTAGGACAGACATAGGGGCTAAACTGCTGTAAGAGAAATGTCCTCTGGGAGACTCACCATACCCCTGGCTTTCAAAAGATCAGTTCCTTTTTATTACTTACACATTGAAATCCTTTTTTAAAATAATGATAATAAAATCCAATAGATAACAATCTTCTGAAGCAGAAGTTGTTTGTTTTACTTTTGATTTTTGAATTGGTAAAAAAGTATGAACAGTAATGAGTATGAAATAACCAGTTAATACTCTTGATTGGATGTAGGCAAGCCTGTGCTTGCATATTTCAGGAGAATATCCTAACTGGGCTTTTCTGGACCATGTGTAACGAGTCCTCTTGTAAACCACTGTAGTATTGTTCAGCTTCATTATTTTAAGATCACTGTCACTGTAGCATGGCATATTTTGGTCACAGGAGTTTTGGGTTTCTCTTGTTAGTGTTTTTGTTGTTGTTGTTGTTGTTGGTTGGTTGGTTGGTTGGTTTTTTAATTTCCAAGTTGGTAGTGAGCTGTTGCAATGTCAGTGTTAGGCTAAAATCATGGCTTAAAATGAGACTGTCCTTAAGCGCACACACACACACTTTTTTTTTTTTTCTTCCTTTAAGGACTCAGTTAAGTTTTGCTTTTGTTCCGAGGTCATGAGTGCAGTTCTGACACAGTTGAGCTCAGCAGCAAACTTAACAGAAATTTCAGCTAGGTGACAATTTCTGTTTCTTTCTCTACCGGTAGTTTTAAGGTATTTCTTAATATCTTAGAAATAAATACCCCCTTCATATCCCTTCATTCCTTTTTTGTCTTTTTTCTTGTTTTAGTTTATCAACAGCTTTTTACTTGCTTTTTGTCTGTGCATACAATTTGTAAGTCATGTTGGAATAACGGTTTCCATTCGAAACAAAATGCACGAAGAGCAAGGTTTACTTTAAAATGTAGAGCAAGTGTTTATTTTATGGGCTTCAATTTATTCTGTTGCAATTGCCAAACTACAACTTCTGTTCAGGGTTGAAGTGGAATGATTGTTTACCTTTTACATTTGTCAACTCTTTAAAAGAGTGATTTAGGAAGAGGGGAGGAAAGAGACAGGACAGTTGGAGAAAGTAAGGACAAATTTGCAAAGCTGAAAATTGGCTGAAGCTACTCTCTTTGTACTGTAGCTCAGAATGTAAATGTGGAAAGGTTGGCAGTGGTTGTAAATATAAGCACTCAGCATTCTTTTATTTGTAACAGAAAGAGACTTATATTTTAGTAGATGAGATGGCCAAATTTACTGAGAGAGGTAAGATTTGAGAGAAATACCTGCACATATGTATCTGTCAAAAGTTTGAAGGCGGTTAATCACTTTCTTCTATGGTGGTTGTTACTTGTGGAACGAGTCCGTGCTTTAGAAACAGAAAGTACAACTGCCAGTTGACAGACATTGAAAGATAGAAATAGGAACAGGTATATTTACCTGATACGTACCTATAGTCCGTGTTGTGCTTTTTTTTTTTTTTCTTTCCCTAAGTGATCTGAAGGTGGCTGTATTTAAATGAACTCTTCCTTTTGTTTCAATGGTGAGTAGATTTTATACAAACTTTCTCTGAATTTTACAGGCACTAATTCATGGACTAAACAGACATTACTATTCCATCACTATCAACTACAGGAAGAATGAACTAGAACAGAAGGTAATTGTTTTAGCTTCTATTCAGAGGACAAAGAATGCTGCTCAAACTACTTAAGAATTGTGGTAATATTCTAATTTAATTGCTGATACTTTCAGTAGTTGTTTTAACTCTACTGCAGTTCGTGGCTTTTCTTCCATAAGAAAGCACTTAGATGTGTAGAATGATGATGAAACCTTTCAAAAACACATTCTAATATTCGTGTAAGTAGTTTGACAACATTTTTCTCCACATGTCTTATGGGAAGTTCTCATGCTGTTTTCCACACTTAACAGGTTTGTGCAAAGTTTAATTTTCAGTGATTTAGGCTGAAAAGTACCAGCTCCATTAGGTTCTCACAGGCTGGAATTCCAGAATACTGAAGAATGTGTTTTCTGAAATGGATTTGTATAACCAAGGAGTCTCAGTTTTTTTATTGGCTATAATCACTTCAACAGTGCTTCTGGTTGGTATGGATAGAGCTCGCAAAGACTACACTGAGCATCAGGAATGTAGTAGTGATGTCCTGCTTACCTCACAGGACACATTTCTTACTTTACACAAACTTTACACATTACACAGAAAAAATACTGTTCAGTAACTGACAAAAAATACTCAGTTACTTTTTTATCAGACTTCCTTTGTCACAAGTAAAATCCTCTAGCTTGACAGTCTCAATCAGGAAAAAAAAGTTTATAGTCTACAGAAGTTAGTTCTTGAGAAGCCAGATTATGTCCTTAGTTATGACTATGCATGTTCATGGCTTTGTTACAGTTATAAGTTGATCTCAGAGTTGGAATTCATAATGCAATGGTCAGAATGGTTTTCTTACTTAATTTTTACTTTTATAGGGCTAAGAATAATAAAAATAAAACCAATTTTGAATAATGGAAGAATAATATTGCAAATCAGGGAGCTGAAAGGAGTTTTCTTTGGAAGCAGCACATAGGATGAAATACCTGCTTTCATTCAGGTAGTAGGAATTGCAGGGTTTATAGGTTTTCAAAGACTTCTGTAGTAAATGTTTGCAAATTGAAGGCAAGCTGAAACTGTTTGCTGAAAGAATCTTCCCTACAGTGCTTGAGTGTGCAGAAAATAGGCAAAATAGGCTTTCCTTATGCATAAAAATCAGGAAATTACGTTTGTAGTTATTTCTTCACTTTTTCAAGACTGTCAGAATGTCATCAGAGAGCCAAGTACGTTTCAGATATTTCTAATAGTCCCTGCACTTATCACCATCAAAAATCTGTTTCATTTTATCATGTGGTTTTTAGGGCTCTTTACTTTGTAGGAGGACAAACACAAGTCATTCTTTGGTTGCTTTTGAAGTTCACTTCTTCACAACTGTGGCAGCTGCTTGCATACAGTTCAGGATAATCAGTGAAGCCTAAATAAATACCTCATACATTTAATCAAAGCATTAAAATATTTTTCAAGTTCATCAGAGGTCAGATCCTTTAACCATTCCTTATGTGGTAGCTAAAATATTCACCTTCCTGCTACCTCTTCAACAATACAATTGTGCATTCTCAGCCTCCAGCAAAAATACTGAATTACAAAAGAAAAGCATTCCTGTCAGAATAAATGTGACCCTGGTGTATATGCCACATTTTCATGTTTAGAGTTCAAGAAGTTTGGTCTTTAAAAAATTAAAGAAAGCCTATTGTCTGCTTTAGCAGAATATTTGATTACTGTTGTTACTTAAACATTGCACAATCAATAATTTTTATTATACTCTTACTACTATAAATTAGACATCTGTGTAGTATTTTGAATGTATTTTATGATGCATGCTCTAAACAGTTTTTATTTTGCAGATGTTGCTAAATTTGCATAAGAAGAGTTGGATGGAAGGTTTGACACTGCAGGACTACAGTGAACACTGCAAACTCAATGAAACAGTAGTGAAGGAGATGTTAGAATTAGCTAAGAATTATAACAAGGTATTCCTATCCCATAATGATTTAATTGTAACTGTTTATGAATTGAAGAAAGTTATTACTTGATTTCAGAAGCAAAGATAATTATTACAAGCTTTACTCAAAATGACTTGTAAAAGACTAGACGGTAAGAACAAAACTATCACTGCAGAACTCTTTTTAACCTTGGGGGTTAATCTGATTTGTATAATCTGCTTTCTGCAAAGAGTTTCTTGGGATTTGTTTAAATTAGGCACAAGCATGGCTTTAATGGCCTTATGAAGATTGCTTCCCCCATTTATTAATCAACTACATGAAGTTGCCTATTAACTTTTTTAAAAATACTATGATAGCTCTTCAGGTGTTTTCACCAAGGTTTTGCCTCAAACTAGCAAAATGTTTAATTATGTGTTTTGCTTAGTAATTGGAGTAATCACATTGATTTTGTAGTTGTGCTTGGTGAAGAGAATTTCAGATTCCCTTAGCTCAAAATTGATTGTATTGTTCATTCTTCCATCAAGGACTACTTGACCAGACTTCAGTATAACAGAATAAGGTTGTTTATCAGTATTATTCCAGTAGATAGGTGGGTAGTAAATATTTAGAACTCATTCTGATGCCTAATTTCATGTTCTTTTTAAATAAATAAATTATTATTGATGTTGTAAGAAAGAAGGATCACAGTTATTTGTGGTGTTTTAATACTGGCATTTACACTTAGAAATATTGTTTATAAATCGTAGATATCTGCAACTTTTCAATAAATAATAAGCTTGTCAGTCATTCTTGATAAATGGTATTTTTTTTTAACTTCCAAGAAGTCCTTAAAAATAAAATTCAGTATTACATCCATTAGGTGAAGTTACTGGATTTACATAATACAGACTGTGTGTTTGAAAACAACAGGACATTATAAAAATATATTGACTCTAAACAGTATAAAATGTACTAGTGATCAAACTTCCAGTAGTTGAAACAATGTAGGTGACTTTTTTTTTTTTTGCTCTACTAGTTTAGTTGTCTTCAATTATCTTTACTGTCAATACTCCTCACTTAGGATTTTTTGCTTAAAAGTTTTATGAATACATCTTGCTTATCTGACAATAAAACCATTCATGAGTATTTACCTTCATCTTTTGTGCTAACACTTAGTAATTAAAACCATGTCTGCTGAAAACCTGAAGTAGCTTTCCTTTTGACTTCTGAAATGTGTTGCTGTTTGATTTTTCCTTTTTTTCTTTTTTTTTTTTTTTTTTTTTTTTTTTTGTGAAAGAGAATTATATTTGAGAATCTTGTGGTTGGGGGGGAAAAGTAAATGAAATCTGAAACACTGACCTTTTCTGTGTTTCGTTCACAGGCTGTTGAAGAAGAAGATAAGATGACACCTGAACAGCTGGCAATAAAAAATGTTGGCAAGCAGGTGAGGTGCGATGAATTAGAGTGAGGTGGAACGATACGCTTCGTTCATTCTAAATATTAATTTTCTTACATGGGTGTAGGTGATTTTAGTTCTACATGCAATATATTCTCAACTCTCTAAATAATGAATTTATTTTTGCTGAAGATTGTTGTGTAAGGAACAAGGCTTTTGACCTTAGGTAATCTGCAGTATATCTGCAAGTCATGTTCTACATGTGTTTATATTAGATACAGAGGAATAGTGTTGAGATTTCTTCCAATTTTTTTCCTTTTCCAAGGAGATACATAAAGATATCCTAGTCTGTTGTACTGTCAGAGAGACCAAAACCATGACGACTTTTAAAAAACAGTACTACTGAAAACAGATGGGGGTGTAGTTTCATACATTATCATGGCTAAAGAGCCAACTCACCCCTGTCCTTGGTTCACGAAGATACTGTCAGTGTGTAGCTCCGGTATGCACATATGCAAGTAAGCTGCATTGCTTTGTATTGCTGTTGAAGCAAAACAGTTTAGGACCATGGCTGAAACTACTCAATTCATTCTATCCCTTTGCAAAGTAAGGATGTAGAGGACTTGACAGAAAACCATTTCTACATATCATTTTAACCTAAAGGTTGAGGAAATGTGCTTTGGTGGAGGAGAGAACAAAACAGCTTGGTAAAAGGTTGTGTTCAAAATTCAAGAGGGGCAATGGAAACAAAAAAAAAAAAGGCTTTAAAAATACTAAGCATGTCATTGAAGAACCAGTATATATTGTATTGTTAGTGGCAGTAGAAGAATGTAAAGGCTTCCGGATTGCTCTTATGTGTCAGCTACTAGCAGCTATGTCATAACACATCTGCACTATTGTTCAGTCACTCGTGTATTTCTGTAGCATTCAGAACAATAAAGTTTATGCACACCTACACATACATAAATATATATAATTAAACATTGCAACAAGGATTGTATTTTAAGAGTTTTGATGTCATCTCAAACATAACTGGAGTTTCATTTGTCTTTTAAATAATTACACGTTATGTGGGGGAAAGTACCTATTTTGATGCAGTTCTTTATAAAGAAAAGCCATTTTTTCCTGATAAAATTACTAAATAATTTCTGTTTTTTTTTCTCTGCAACTTATATAGAAAATTTTGTAAACAGACAGCTGCTCGCAATAGGTATATTATGTTATTAGGATGCATTTGCTAAGAACAGAATATTGGAGAACTACATGATCTTTGAAAATGAATTATTTAAGAAAGCTTACATTTGATGGCATTCCTCACACGTTGATTTTCCAGTTCACTTTTACATAAACTCAAATGAGTTCATTAGATTTTGACAATAATTCTTTTAAAGTAGTAGATAAAATTCCCATATGATAGCTTTCCATGTTTTCTTTACAAGCAAGAATGCTACAACAATGCAGCAGTAAAATTTAGAGATGATTTTTAAACATGCTTGATAATTTTGCAGTATTTTCAGATTAATTACTTAATCTTGATTCTGAAAGTTATTTTAACCGTTTATGAATATAGTTAACTTGTCAACCAGAAATAATGTAATTATTCTATATGAATGCCCACAAGTGCGCACTCAATTGAGTAATAGTGTGTGGGAATGTGTATTTTCAGAATACTGTTCAGGTTTAGCATTCTGTTTGTCAGAACATTTGAACATCTCATTGTGCATTTTCTTGATAGGTATAAATATGTTAATTTTCTCAGTCGACACAACTATTCAAAGACTGTGTTAGATCATGCTTGAGGCTTTACAGGATTAGAATACATATTTGTACAAAGATCTGAAAACAAATTGCAGTGTACCAGAACTGAGATTAAAATATTGGACCTAGTGAGATATATAATGAATTCCACGTGTTGTGTTTTGTCCTTAAAACTCACAGCTGTCATGGTTACTCTTCAGATGCTGGATAGAAATTTCCTTCCTAAACCTATCCTCTGCTTCTCTGAGTGATAGTATGGACTAATTGTTTGGCAATTTAGTCATTTGCTAGGTCTTGTTAGAAAGGAAGATCTGGGAGCTTCACTGGCCTCTCTTCCTTAAGTCACAGCCTTCTTAGATATAAATGAAGTAACTGAAATCCTTCACAGAGATATGTTTTATTCATTTCTCGCATGCTATCCTTTTTATTTCAGGACCCCAAACGTCACTTAGAAGAACATGTGGATGTGCTGATGACTTCAAACATTGTCCAGTGTTTAGCTGCTATGTTGGATACAGTTGTATTTAAATAACCATTTTACTGTTTGTGATGCTTTCTGTGTATATTTGTTTATCGTTTCTAATACTCACAAAACAGAGACTGCTGAGGCTATATTTGATTAAACAGAGACATCTGACTTCATTCGCAGTCTAAGTGCAGCTCAATAACACCTTTCAGTCTCTAATTGTGCAGTTGCTTCATTTTTTTATGTCAGTGTCTTTACAGACTCCAAATAATTCAAGAACACGATGTGTGCAAAAATGTATTACATTTTCATTTAATATTTTGGGAGAAAAATCAGTAGTACATATATATTTTGATTGTTGCAACATAATAAAAGTACATTTACAAGCCTGTCAAGTTCTGGAAGGCCTTTTTTGTGAAAGTGGGGGGGGGGAAGAGGGGAATCAATGGTGTAGGAAAAGTGCTGGTAAAACATATTTGTATCCACTGTAGAACTACTGAGATGTTAGTTGCTAGGACAGCAAAAAATCTCTAATGAAATTTGGCTTCCATTGATTGCCAAATACTCTTTTTAAGATTTTATATATACATATATACACACATATATAAAAGCGCTGAATTCCAAGGATATACAAAAAGCAAGTGCTGAAAATTATGATGACAGCTCCCTTTCAATATTATTCAAGCTGTAATATCCACAGAAGACAATTGACCTTAAGAAAATGAATTCAGTTATGCTGATAACTGAATCACACAACTCTCACCAGCGGTGTCATAAATAGCACTATTCTGAGAATAAACATTAAAGTGATGGGGGCTGCTGTAGGGTTATATGAACCCTCCCTCCTGTGAAAGAGGAGGTACATAAGATACAGATATATGGAAGGAGTCCCAACTGCAATGTGACATTTTAAACCTTTTCCATGGACTAGAAATGCTTACGGAAGGGCAGGTGGGTTGGCTGCTTGGTTTTAAGCAGACAAAGCCAAGTAACTGTGGTTGGGGAGTGACTGGGTTTTGGGCAGGGGTTGGGGGGTGCGTTTTAAGTATTGGAGGTGCTTAGGCAGATTTGATTCTTTTGTCTGGGTGGAAGTGCTCTTTCTGTATCACTCATTCACAATATCTTAGTTGCTGGATTTTTTTTTTTAACTGCAACAGTTGTGACAGATAAATAGTTTAGAACTCATCTTTGTGTTAAAGATTTTAATTTATTTGACTTATTTGCATCATAAACAAATGGACCATAAATTTATGTCTTATTGTCCACATTGTACCCAGTACTTTCCTATTTATTTGTTCATTACCATTCAAACATTTTCTTTTGTTTGGAATTTCTTATTTAGGCCTTCTACCATTTTAAAATAACTCTCTCTCAAAGTATATTTAGTGTGCATTTACTTCAGAGGGGAACATGCAGATTTTTGCAGCTGCCCTCCTTATGGCCTTCCCTCTGCCCCCACAGTAGGCAGCAGAGTATCAGACTGGGAAAATGGAGACGTACCAAACCATGTTTGATCTGCCTGCAGTTAAGATAAGTGGAAATGTTTCTGGCTGTTTGCGCCGAAAACCAGTGTATCACTGAGGAAGGTTGTATTTGGGCCCTGCCATTGTCCAGTATATGCTTCCCTGCTGCACCTTGCGGAAAGACAGGGCAGGAGCTGAAGGGAGCCCGCAGCGGAGCTTTGCATCCCTGTGCTCCTGTATCACCAGGAGAGACACAGATATTTGGGGGGGTCATAGGTAACATGGCACTGCGGAACTGGCAAGGAGCTATCGCAGTGCTGCAGTGTACGCATGCGAGAAAGGCCAGTGCAAGCTGAGAGCCAAAACAGTAAGTCTTGCACATTTTTCTAAATTTATTTTAACAAATGTACATCTTATGGAGGATAGCTGAAGGAAAGCTGCTGGAGATGTGGATCTCCTTAGTATGAGCTTGTGCTGTAATAGCCTGCTTTCTATCCAGTCCTTGGTTTGACTTGGAGGCACAATTTTCCATTTACTAAGATGTTTCATGAATAATCAAAAGGCTGGGTTTTGGGGCATCTTATTTTTGTTCAGTCCTTTAGGAGCTACACAGAGGGATTTGGAAGCGTGCACACATGCTGTAAGCTGAAAAGCAGCAGCCCATATACCATCCTGGAGGAAGAAAGGTTTTCAAGCAGCCACCTTCTGAGCCTCCAGCCGCAGCGGAGCAGACCTTCATTAGCAGCTTGACCCCTCATCACCTGTCAGCGCGAAGGATGGGCATATTGTATTAGCAAACCTCTCCTTCTTTCCATGACGATTCTGTAACACCACCTGCCATTGCATATCCCCCTATTATACCAGTTTAGGAGTTGTGCACTGAAGATTTTTGGCATATATTAACACTTCCATGTGATTGGCAGTACACCACTGAATTCATTGCAGCTCTGCATGTATATGGGTGTAGCAACATAATTCAGGGCAGCGTTTCCCAGGGTTTAGCTGTGTTTCGACCCATCTCCCGCCCATGTATCTAAATCCATTACCTTTTTATCGGTTTCAAGCAGAGAAATGCAAGGGTGGGCATGCTGGTGAAACAAGTGTCAGAAACAGTAGTTAGGGCTGATATTGATAAAACTATTTTCTTAGCACTGAAAGGAGAAGGTAGAGTATGGGAAGTTGCCCGCGCTGTACCATGAGCCTGCGAGTACGCTTACCTCCTCGCGTTTTGCCTAACAAAGGATTTTATTAGAATAATTTCCATGCAGAGGCTGTGTATGCCGGCCTCCCTGAAACACCACATCATTGAACTAGCGCACAGTTTTAAGCAACAGAAAAATTACAAAACGGCTGTGAGATTTGGGAGCATTGAAATACGCATTCTGACAAGCCAGCCTGCTTTCTGCCTTCTCTGGATTTGACTTTGCGAAGTTTCGGCCTGGCTTCAGCTGATTACGTGTCGGGCTTGATTTTATTATGAGGTGGTCGGGGCCGCGCTAACCGTGAGCGGAATTGGAAGCCGGCTGCTGGTGTCAAGTGGAAAGAGGTGTGCCCCGTGACATACCTCAGGTCCACATCGCTAAGGGGAAAACACTATGAAAAATGAAACAGGAGAGCTCCTCCCGGAGAGGGGAAAAAAAAAAAAAAGAGAGAAAAAAAAAGGGTGATTCTGGAAACTCATCATCTCGCCTGGGAAGGGGCACGGCGGGCGGCGGGGAGGCGGGCGGCCGAGTGCCCGGCGCGGGGCTCGCTGCGGGCCGCGCCGGGGCTCCCCCCGCTGAGGGCCGGCGCTCGCCGCCCCCCGGAGATCGGGGGCCTCGCCCCCTCCCCTAAGCCCCGGGGAGCTCGGCTCGGCCCTTACGGGGCTGCCCCCGGGCCCCGGGGCTGCTCCCGCCGCCGGCCTCGATCGGCTCGCTGAGGGAGGGCCGTGGCGGCGCCGCTGCCGCGAGGCGAGGCAGCGGGTGACAAATGTATTACAAAAGCGCTCTCCCCTCCCAGCGCTGTCTGTGGGACTGAGTCACTGAGGGAAAACAGACACCGAGTGGAAAGCGATCCGGACCGGAGGGACGCCTTCTCCGCTGTGTTGCTGACGATCTGCGGCATTACAGCGCCCTGCTAAAATATTTATTTACGGGGGACCCGCAGACAGCACGCCAGGGCAGCGCGGCCGCTGCTTACTGCGCAACTTCCAAGGGGAGACCCGCGGCCGCCGCGCTGGGGGCTCGGGAGGGGCGGGGGGCGCTCGCACTGACGGGGGGCTCCCGGCGAGGGGCTCCGGGCTCTCGGTGAGGGGCTCCCGGTCCCCGGTCGCCCCCGGCAGCGGGGCGAGCGCGGCGCCGCCCGGGTGAGCTGAGGGCAGCGGCGCCCGGCCCCGCCGGCGGCCCCCGGACCCCCCCAGCCCGGCCCTCCCCCGGCACCCAGAGGCGGGGGACAGGCGCGCGAGTATTTAGAGAAACGCGGGGCTTTTGGTTTATTTTGCAGCCGTAGTCAAAAATAAATAAATAAATAAAATAAATGAAAAATAAAAATTATAAAAAAATGCTGGAAAGGTCACATAATAATGAGCTCTTACAGCAAACACACTCTTCCCTTCCCCCTTCGCCTTCCTTCTATCTCACAATAAAATCATCTCCTTCAATTTGCCATGATCGTCGCGACCAGGAGCCAGGTGATTATCCTAATTAATGTCTATCTAATTAAATTACTGTCAGCGGTTAACCAATGGCAGAAGCCGTTTCATCCTCTCCGCAAGCAGCAAGATCAAAAGTGAGTCTTTCCTGATTGCTGCATAGTGTCAATTGGCCAATCTCTTCTCCCAGGGAAGGAAAAAAAAAAAAAAAAAAAAAAAAAAAAAAAGTAAATCAAACGTTTGGGAAGCATTTGGTGGATGAAGTGCTTTCTGTCTAGTGAGGGTCCCAGGATGTCTAGCTTCTGATACTGAGGAGCCCTTTCAGATCCAGGGACTGAAGGGTTATTACTGTGGTGCTAGAGCTATGCAGCTGGAGCATTGTCTTTCTCCCTCTATCATGCTCTCCAAGAAATTTCTCAATGTGAGCAGCAGTTACCCACATGCAGGCGGATCTGAGCTTGCCTTGCATGATCATCCCATTATCTCGACCACTGACAACCTGGAGAGAAGTTCACCTTTGAAAAAAATTACCAGGGGGATGACGAATCAGTCAGATACAGACAATTTTCCTGACTCCAAGGACACACCAGGGGACGTCCAGAGAAATAAACTCTCTCCCGTCTTGGACGGGGTCTCTGAGCTTCGTCACAGTTTCGATGGATCTGCTGCAGATCGCTATCTGCTCTCTCAGTCCAGCCAGCCCCAGTCTGCTGCCTCTGCTCCTAGTACCATGTTCCCTTACCCCGGCCAGCATGGACCTGCTCACCCAGCCTTCTCCATCGCCAGCCCCAGCCGCTACATGGCTCACCATCCTGTGATCACCAACGGAGCTTATAACAGCCTCCTGTCCAACTCTTCGCCGCAAGGCTACCCCACGGCGGGCTACCCTTACCCCCAGCAGTACGGCCATTCCTACCAAGGGGCGCCTTTCTACCAGTTCTCCTCCACCCAGCCGGGGCTCGTCCCCGGCAAGGCTCAGGTCTACCTGTGCAACAGGCCGCTCTGGCTGAAATTCCACCGGCACCAGACGGAGATGATCATCACGAAGCAGGGGAGGTAAGCCGCCGCGCGGACCCTCTCCGGGCGCCGGGGCTGCTCGGCCGGGGGAGCCGCCCGCTGCCGCCGCCGCCGCCCCGGGGGAGCCGCCCGCCGCCGGGGCCGGTGGTCGCCGGGGCCGGTCCCCTCCGGGGCAGCCCCCCCCAGGCTCCCCGCGCCCCTTCCCCGCGGAAAGCTCGACGTTTCGGGAGGGAGTTGCTTTGGATTTTTGGTTCCCGGTCGCTACCGGGAGCCGGGAGGATAATGCACAGCGGGCTGGCTCCTCTGCGTGTGCGTATCGCTGCCGCTGGCTTGCTTTCCTTCTTTCCTCTCTTTTTTTTCTTTTTTTTTTTTTTCCTTTCCTTTTTATAGGCGCATGTTCCCTTTCCTAAGTTTTAATATTTCTGGTCTCGATCCCACGGCTCACTACAATATTTTTGTGGATGTAATTTTGGCGGATCCCAACCACTGGAGATTTCAGGGAGGCAAATGGGTTCCTTGCGGCAAGGCGGACACCAATGTACAAGGCAAGTTCCTCCAATTAACACTTTTCCCGACACATATGTAGGTGAGAATGATTAATTAAAGCCTTTGTGGACTGGCTCTAACGACTTCTTAAACGAGAAAGGGCCAACGATGCTTTTTAGAAAAAAGAAAAGGAGGGTGGTGGAGAAAGTAAGAGGTGATCGGAAAACGCTGCTTTAATCCCGCTCGGTTAAATGAAGGCGGTTTCCGCAGAAAAATAGCGCTAACTTTAATGGGGTCCTTCGACCCCGCGTGCTGCTGCAGAGGCAGAACCAGGCTACATGCGAGACCCGTGATGTGGTGGTGTTTTTTGTTGTTTCGCTTAGGAAACCGGGTGTACATGCACCCCGACTCCCCCAACACGGGAGCCCACTGGATGCGCCAGGAAATCTCCTTTGGGAAACTAAAACTTACAAACAATAAAGGAGCATCAAACAACAACGGGCAGGTCAGTGGGGGAACCGCAAACGCTCCGTTAGGCTTTTTTTTTCTTTTCTTTTTTTTTTTTTTTTTGCTTTGCTGCTTCAGGCAGAATCCTGCACTCTCCAGTCGGATGCGTATATGCATTATATATATAGTCCTTATTTTTAAAGACCGTGTCCCCAAACGAGGATAAAGGGGCGGTGGGGAGGGAGAGCCCTCGCGTCCTTAGCCGCGGGCATCACTGCCCCGTCCTGCTGCTCTAACCCCGCGGCCCCCTCCCTCCTCTTCCTCTGCCTGACAGATGGTGGTTCTGCAGTCCCTCCACAAGTACCAGCCCCGCCTGCATGTGGTGGAGGTGAACGAAGACGGGACGGAGGACACCAACCAGCCGGGCAGAGTGCAGACCTTCACCTTCCCCGAGACCCAGTTCATAGCGGTCACCGCCTACCAGAACACCGATGTAAAGAGCTCCCCGCTCCGGCCCCTTCGCGCTCCCTGCACGGCCCGGCCGCTGCTCCCGCTCCCCCGGGGCTTCGGCACCGGGAGACCGGGGCCTCCCCCCGCTCCCTTCCCGTTTTGCCTCCGCGTTGTGCCCCGGGGCCGGGCGGGGATCCCGCCGGGAAGCTCCCGCTCGGCGGAGATCAATTGGCGAGGCCATCGATCGCACCGGGGCGATGGAGCAGCTCCCTCGAATTAAAACCTCGTTACCGCCTTGGCCGCGTTTCGGCATGGCCGGGTGGCGGTGCCCCTCTCCCCGGTGACATATGTTCGGGCCGCGGTCCCGGGTTAATTATTTGGCTCGCCGCGAGCCTCAACTCTCAGCTACCGCTCTGCGGGGCGTTTCGCCTCGTTTCTGGGTTTAAATACATTCACGGCCATGCGCTACGCGTAAACACACTTTTGAAAACATGGGGTTAAACGCGAATATTTAGCGTGATTTTTAGAATAAAGCGAATCGTAAAATTCGATTTTTGGTATCTAGTAGCATGCCGCAGCTTCGTTTTTCGTGTTTCAAAGGCAATTTGATCGACTAGAGCGAAGCTCGGTGCTTTTAAAAGCGCGGTGGCTGCAGCAGAGTGCATTCTTCGTGCTTTTCACACCGTGCGCTCTGCTCCTCTGTTTCCCTAGATCACACAGCTGAAAATAGACCACAACCCTTTCGCCAAGGGCTTCCGAGACAATTATGACACGTAAGTAAAACCGCATTTTTCTTTCCCTTCTGCCGGCTGCGGGCACCCGTCAAGGGGAGAGGCTGGGGGGCGCGGGCAGCCTCCCCGCCACGCCGCCCCGGGCGAGGCCCGGCTGGAGCCCACTGCTTCTCTGCTCTCCTCAGGGCTGCGGGCACACAGGGGCTGCCCCATTTGGGGCTCAGCACATGCTGGGGGGCCCCCGCACCCGGCCCCTTTCTTTGCGCCCCTTTCCAAGTTCGCGTTGAGTTGCGCGGAAGGGCCCCGCGCAAGGCGCGCTGTGCGCCCGCCGGGTTTGAATAAGCCCGGGCTCCGCAATCCCTGTGTCCAGAGCAAATTTTCTTTTCCGTCTCGTTTTGTTCCCCTCTGGGGTTGGAGCGGTTTTTTTTTTTTTTTTTTTTTTTTTTTTTTTTTTTGTTCCTTATATATTTTTTTCTCCTTCCTTACATCTGGGTGGAGCTAAAGGCTGCGAAGTTTTAATCGCGGTTTGTCCCCGCGCTGCCTCCCCCGCTCGCAGAACCGCCCGGGGGCTGCTGCCAGGGCCTGGCTACCGTGGGGAGGCCGCCCCGGTCCCCGGGAGCCGAACGGGGACAGCCGGGCCCGGCTGCAGCAGCGCTGACGGCTGCGGCTCGCCCCGGCCCAGGGCATGGCCGGCGGGCACCTCCTGCCCACACAGCCCCTTCAGGGCTCAGGGCGGGCGCAGGGCGGCTCAGAGCCCCGAGGGGGCGGGCGGCCCTGGAGCTGCTCGGTCCCTCTGCAAGCCCCGAGGCCGCAGGACGGGGCCGAGCCCCTGAGGGAAGGAGGAAACCTCCTCCTCCCTCTGGAGGCTGCAGCCGGGAGCAGCCTCCCACCCAGCGCCCCAGGCCGCGTGTAGCACCCGCGCCTGCTAAGGCCTCTCGCAGGGCTCCAGCTCCCCCCGGCAGCGGCATTTCGCTCCCAGGGGGGAAGCGACGCCGAGGCCTGAAGCAGCCCCAGAGGCTCCCGGGGCCGAGCAGCGGCTCTCCCCGAGGGGACCGCCCCGTCGGGCGGCCGCTGCGAGCCGCCAGGGGCCGGGCGCCGTGAAGGCAGCCCCGTTATGTCGCTTCTTGTGCGGCCTCTGTAAGACCCGCGGCCTTGCAGAGCCATCAGAAATAGCAGAGGGTTCGTGGCCTTCGCCCCCAGCCTCAAGTGCTTTTCCCTTTTTCAGAGGGGAAAAACTTTATAGGGCGTCACTTTACAGGAGACGGGGGGAGGGGGAAGCTTCAATGTTGTCTAGCACGTTGGATTTGTTTAAGGGCCAAGTTTATTTTGGATAAGAAATTCCAGGAGGCGTGGAGGGTTAATTAAAGCACAGTTTTAGCCTGAATTAAATACAGATAGTAGTTATTCATCCATTAAAGTTTTTATAATCGCAAATTGCAGCCCAGCATGGGAGAATTATATATAGGCCACGCAGGGAACACTAGATGCGTCTGGTTCTGCATTTCCTCCAGTAGGTGTTTAAAGATTAGCCTAATTTAAACCCAGTAAAATGTTGATGGTTCGTCTGCGACTCTCAATAATAAGTGTTAAACAGGCGCTATAACGCCGCAGCCCGCCGCTCCCGCTGCTCGCTGCACACGCCCGGGTTGCCTGTGGCGCACACGGCGGGACCGGTCAGCGTGTGACGGAGCGGGGATTTCAAGCCCTGGGCTGAGAGCAGGAAGCCCCTGGGCTAAGAGCAGGAACCCCCTGGTCCCAAAGAGCAGCTTGCCGTGCCCTCCCCGGCTAGGGCCCCGTCTCCCGGCCCCACCGAGGGCGGCAGGCGCCCGCCCGTGCCCCCGACGGCGGCGCCCACCCAGCCCTGTCCCCTTCTCTCCGGCAGGATCTACACGGGCTGCGATATGGACCGGCTGACGCCGTCTCCCAACGACTCGCCCCGCTCGCAGATCGTGCCCGGGGCCCGCTACGCCATGGCCGGCTCCTTCCTCCAGGACCAGTTCGTGAGTAACTACGCCAAGTCCCGCTTCCACCCCGGGGCAGGAGCCGGCCCGGGGCCCGGCGCCGACCGCAGCGTGCCCCACACCAACGGGCTGCTCTCCCCACAGCAAGCCGAGGACCCGGGGGCCCCGTCGCCGCAGCGCTGGTTCGTCGCCCCCGCCAACAACCGCCTCGACTTCGCCGCCTCCGCCTACGACACGGCCACCGACTTCGCCGGCAACGCGGCCACGCTGCTTTCCTACGCGGCGGCCGGCGTCAAGGCGCTGCCGCTGCAGGCGGCCGGCTGCGCGGGGCGGCCGCTGGGCTACTACGCCGACCCGTCGGGCTGGGGGGCGCGCAGCCCCCCGCAGTACTGCAGCAAGTCGGGCTCGGTGCTCTCCTGCTGGCCCAACAGCGCGGCGGCGGCGCGCATGGCCGCCGGCAACCCCTACCTGGGGGAGGAGGCGGAGAGCCTGGCCCCCGAGCGGTCCCCCTTGCCGGGCGCCGAGGACTCCAAGCCCAAAGATTTGTCCGACTCCAGCTGGATCGAGACGCCGTCGTCCATTAAGTCCATCGACTCCACCGATTCTGGGATTTACGAGCAGGCCAAAAGGCGGCGGATCTCCCCGTCGGACACCCCGGTGTCCGAGAGCTCCTCGCCCCTCAAGAGCGAGGTGCTCACCCAGCGGGACTGCGAAAAGACCTGCGCCAAGGACATCGGCTACTACGGCTTCTACTCGCACAGCTAGGCGCGGCCCGCCGCCGGCCCCGCCGTCCTTTTGCACAATAACTCCTCCGCGGTTAGCGCACTGACCCCCGCCCCTAGCTGCCCCATCCGTTCCCCCGGCCCGGCCCGGCTCGGCACGGCCCGGCCCGGCGGGGAGGCGGGCAGGGAGGCAGGCAGGAGGCCGAGCCGCCCTCCCCGCCCGCCCCGCGAGGCCCGGCGGAGCCCCGGGGGCGCGGACGGCCCCGCCGCGGGCGTCCCCCCCGCGCCTCCGAGCCCCGCCGGTCAGTAGGATGTGTAGACTCTCTCCAGCCGTACAGCGCTTCCTTCCTTTTACCACGGATGGATACTAGGGGATGGTAGTAATAGTGGGGAAAAAGAGCCTGTGAAATGCCTGTACATAGGGTTCTAATTTATTACTTTCCTTTGGGTTTGTTTCCTATTTGTTCGGATTCTTTTTTCCTTTCTCTTTACTTTTGTTTTCACTGTTAAGTCGCAAAACTTAGATCTTGTTTAAATCCCCTCACTCTCCCCCCGCCTCCCCTCCCCAGGTGAACACTCCTTCTAAACGCCTCTGGAAATGCTGAGCGCCCCGTAGCCGTACAGCGAGTAATGGGTTTCTCACTTTCCCCGCAATTCCTCGCATGAAATAATTACGCACTGCCCTGGGCTAACACAGCTACGGAATAGCTGAGCTTTCCCTTCAAAAGACCAGAAATACGTCTCGTAGGAAAGTCGATTAAAGTAGCATGACGCCTTCCAAAAGCAAAATTAACTGCCTCTGTATTTTTTTCTTTAAAAGGAATAGCTCGACATCAGCAATATTATTATTTTTGTGGTATTCCCTCCCCCCCCATCGCCCCCAAGTGCCAAATCCATTACTGGTCCCTGCAGGTGCCAAATATGCTGACAAACTCTTTTCAAATTTCTTTGCAGTTTTTCCCCTCTTTCTTTATATTGCTGTAAATCTTTGTAATGAATAATCTAAAAAAGAAAAAAAAAAAAGAAAAAAAAAAGATATAGACGACTGAATTGTTGGTAACCATAGTGTAGTCCAGTGAAGATGAATTGTGAGTTGTATATTTTACTGCATTTAGTTTTGGAATTGACTTTTTCATAAAGTAGCTAACCGAGATCTGACTTCCTGGGGAATAAAGTGCACATCGAAAGTAAGAGCGCTCTTTCCTGTAAACCTCTGATTCTGGCAGTGACGGAGAAGTAATATCCCTCCAGGTCTCCCCCCCGGCGAAGCAGAATAGTAAGTCTTCGAATTTTGAGTAGCAAATCTATACGATTAACGCATTTTTATATGAAACACAACTGCAAACTGAAATATGCATCGGGCTAAATATTCAGTCTAGGTTACACTCGACGGGGAAGTTTCCTAATAGAAATTCAGGGTCATAAACGTGTGTATATTTTTGACTCTTCTGTAAATCGAATGTTGTGATTTTTATATTTGTTCTGTTATGTCCGTGGAACTGAATAATTTATACAAGTACCTGCTCCATTGAGAAATGTTTCGGTTTTTGCCCGTTTGTATCGTCTGTGTATAACAAGTAAAATAAACCTGGCAAAACGCTCACCTCGTCTCGGGACGCCGCTTGGCAGCGAGGGCGCCGGGGCTCGCCCCCTCCCGGCCCGGTGCTGCCGGCCGGAGGAGGACGAGGAGGAGGAGGAGGAGGAGGAGGAGGAGGAGGAGGGACGGCTCGGGGGGTGCGGGTCTCCCTGCTTGCCCCGACCGCGCCCCGGAGCAGAGGTGAGGGGGGCGGCTTGGGTGAGGAGCGCCGCTGCCCCCTCAGGGAGAGGCGGGGAGACGGGCCGGGTGAGGCGCCTTCCTCCCTCGCCTGTGGGGGCCGGGACGTTAGGGCAGGTGTGAGGGGTGACACGGCGACTTTGGGAAGCCGCCGCCGGGGCCTTTGGTGCCGGTATCGACCCTCACGGCCCGGCCGCCCGCGCTGGGCTACGGCTGAAGTGATGGCGGCGGCGGCCTCGTCGGGCAGGGCGGGAAGCGGCCGGGCCGTGAGGGAGGAGAGGGCCCGCGGTGAAGCGCTCCCCACTTACCCCCCCCGCAACTGCTCCCGGGTACCGGTGCCCCCTCGGCGTCGCGGCGAGGAGCCGTCCGAGGTGTAACACACGAACAAAACTCGTCCCTCTGTCCCCGCCGTCGACCGCTGCCCCCTCCGTCCCGTCACGCAGCCCTGAGGGGCGCCTCCGCCGTGAGCCCCCCGCCGCCGGGCCCGCAGGAGCCCCCCGCCGCGGCCCTCAGCCCCTGAGGCGGGGGCTCGCTGCCTCCTGCCCGGCGGGTTGCGGCCCGGGGGCCCGGGGCGAGCACCGAGCGCCTGGAAGGGCTGAGCAAAACCCCCGCCTGAGAGCCAGTGGTTAACGCTGTTCCGTAACTATCTCGACAGGACGCTCTAAATCCCTAACTCTTTCTGCGGGAGAGTGGAAGAGGTAAAGGCTGCAGAAGTAAAAAAGGCTATTTCCTGTCGGTAGGTCCGTTTATTATTACTTATTTTTATTATTATCGCCATCATTAGAGATGCAGGAGTGTATCTGCCATACACGCGTTTGCTAACGCGTTAAAATACCTGCATAAACCTAGAATCAAAGCTGCGGGTTTTGACCCAGGGTATGTAAGTGATAATATACTTGCAGCTTAGTTAAAGCAAAACCCCGAGTTTGAATTCGTGAGACCAGCAACTATTTGCATGAATTTTACATGAAGTATAATTTGTGTTATTATTCTAGCCGTGCTGAGCGGGTTTTTAATTTAATTATTCGGGAAAATAATCTACTCAACTGCCCTTTCTTTGCGTTACTGAAATTACACAAAATCAAGCTCCGAGCAAGACGATCCCTAGGAAGTAATTCCAAGTTCCTATCGGTAATACTTGCCACGATATTTCCCATTAATGCTATATCCCATGTAATACGGTGAGTTACGCTCTGCAGATTTTGCACGAGTACTCTATGCATATTTGATGACACATTGCATATTTTAACAAGGTTTTTAATGACTGATTGAAATGTTTGCTAAGATATTTTTTAAGAGCTGGAGGAGAAATGGTTGCGGAAAATGTGTGTAATAGAATAGTGATAAGGATGGGAGGGTTTTGATTGACAGTATGAGGAAGCAGATGGATGACTAGGTAGGTCAGAGGTAAAGATGCCTTTGACAGCTTTTTAAGTTCCTTTGGCCATTTTGGTCCAATGAATCATGCAAAACATGTGTACATTACTAAACTGATGTCTCTGCATCGTTTACTGTTGGAATCCTTATCTCTTCAAACCCACCCTAACCTTCTTTCATCACCACTTGACGTGCTATGTCTAAACTAGATTGCAAGATCCTAAGAAGGCAAGAATCTGTCTTGTATTACTTGTCAGCAAAAAAAAAAAAAAAAAAAAAAAAAAAAAAAAAAAAATCATGTAAACCTATGGAGCTAGAAGAACAACCGCGACAGATTGGCAGAATAGGCGTAAGGTGGGACACGTTCTTCTTAATTTTCGCTGTCTGGTCATCACTCCCCTCCCCTAGGTAGTGCTCGAGGGAACTGTGGTGAACAATGATTCCCCCCCCCAACTGGCATAAATCTGAATAAGTCTGATAAGAGACCTAATTGCATAATTTTACTTATAACATTATGCAGTGAGTTCTGTTGCTATAGTTAAAATGGTTTTCTTTGCAGTCTGCGTTTTCAGGTGCTTTGTATGTCCCTCATAAATTATTTTGTCAACTGGAAATGCTGTGGTTTATCCCTGTGAAAGGTTACTGTTTTTGGAAGTCTTATTTAAATTACATAGGAGAATTTTGAAACCACTCAGACACAAAAATAGAATGCATGTGTATTGGGAAAAGCAGAAAAAAGGATTTTGCATGGAAGTATGCTTTCCAGGTACTGCTTCTGTGCAAACTGTATGCAAGGTTTCGTTTTAAGTATTAAAACTTGTCATGAATGTGGTCTCCAGTGGGGAATGTGTGACTAGCTAAGATACAGGGACAAAGTCAAATGAAAAAAAAATTGAAATAGCGGAGTGATAAGTAGATGGAAGGCAGCAGACTGTTCGCATTCAGTACCCTGTTCTTTTCAGCTAATATGTTTGTAGCAGGTCTAGAGAGCCACGCAGCTTAGTGATAACATTTCATGGATTTATCAGAATGCATATTAATTTGGGAATGCACAAACAAAAACACCTCTTATTTCAAGACCACGATCACTTGAGAGCCTTCTATTTGTTCAGATATGTGTATCTGAAACATATATATCTCTTTGAAAAGCATATATATCTCTGTATCTAGAAATTTTAATCATAGGTAATATTGTCCTTCTTATAAAGGTAGAATAATCATTGATGCATAAAGATCCAAAGCTGCCGTTCCTGATTCGGTATAACTTTTGGCCTGATAAAATATGTTACACAATAAAATCTGTGATGTTTTATTCATGTTACCACTGCAATTCCTCCGGGTTGCTGTGTTTCTAACACTAAGGGGCTGATACATGTACGAATGATCTTGTTGGTCCTAAGCTGACTTTTTTAGGTGATTTTTTTTTTTTTTTTTCAAAATTAAAGGCAGAATGGATGAAGACTTCAGCTACATTCCTTCTGTGTAAACTATAATATTAGACTGTATTAACAGGCATTTATTTCTTAAGCTTTAAATAAGAAACAGCTGGTAATGACTTTGAATCTGTTTTAAGAGACATTTTAGGTAAAATGTTGATAGCTTGTAAATGTGTATTCCTGCCTTAGTCTCTGATCGTGCATGCAAGTTCATATGTGTGAATAACGTAAAGTAAGAGGTCAGTCCTACAAAGACTATTCACTTGTCTAAAAATTCACAGACATAAATGTTTTCAGGATCAAGGCCTTTTTCAATAATTGTGATATTCGTGTACCTTGAAGTGACTGACTAATTTAGAATACACTTAATAATTTGATTTTTTTTTTTTAATATAGTAGAAACAGTGCGTTGATGAGTTACCAAAGCGCATCAGACAAGCTTCCACTTCAGTCATTTGTAATACCTTTTGGGGGGGCTTGTTCGGCTATTTTTTTAAAATTAATTTTAATTTTCTAGTGCTACTCCTAAATTAAACTTATTTTTAGAAGTCACATCTTAATTTCTATAGGGCATGCTACAGAATTCACTTTTTTTTAAGTAGGCTTCTTCCATGGAGTGTATTTTATCCCAGAGCAGATAATACTGGTCTGGGACCGAAACTTCGAATTGAGAGAAAAATTTAGGTTGCTGCAAGGTGTCCTAGTTTAGATGGAGACACCCACCCACCAGGAATTAAACTGAAATCACAAATGTAAGTTAAGGAACACTTTTAGTGATTGATTAACACCCTGCTTACAGCTTACTTACCTTTGTGGAAATGTTTGCTGAAGGGCAGACATTGATTATTGGGGATAGACAACAACCAGACCATCTGATCTCCATCTTCTGCGGCTCTCCTGTTGGAGATGCTGAAGAAATGTGGTGGTCACTTCTTGGCTATGAGGAAAGCTGGGGCTCATCCACACATGCTGCTGTATCTCCTGGGAATCCCATCTCAGCGTCTTGCAGCAGCACTGCCCTTCTTGCCCATTGTTATGTGAGTGGTGCCCACATTTCATTAGGTCAGATCTGTGGTGTAACGCCACAGAGAAATATCTGGTCACCACACTACGTCTGTTTTCAGCAAAGTATTAAAGCATCTGCCCCTTCTTGGTGTTTCCACCACTTTATCCCTGTACTTCTAAAGCACCTTAAGCTTGGTGGAAGCTCCCTTCTGGTAGCTCAGTTTACTTTTCTGTTGTGTTAGCAGAAGGGGGCATTTGACTTGGATGAGATGCAAGGTACTGAGTAAGAGGTGAAAGGTTTTGCTTCATATTGACAGCTCATGAATCAAGCTATTGAAAAAACCACATGTAAGTGACAAGGGGTAGGGGCATTTTTCAAAGTCACTGAATTGTTTAGTAGCCTACGTTGAGAAATGCTGCACGTTTCACCGAGAAACCTGCAGTGCTTCTGAGTTTGGAGTTATGCCCACCCTTTTGACAGTTTTAGTCTTGGACACCTCATTGAGCAGTTATTTCAGATATTAATTGAGGATTGGGGTTTGTTGCTGAACTGTGGGCAGAGTACCACAGATTAAATCCTCAACTGGTGCAAAATTATGTTATTTCCTTGGTTCAGTAGATCAAAACTGATTTATGTCATCTGATTGTTTCCTCTTGTGTTGAGATACAGCCCAAAGCAGGGGCAGTTTGATGGAATGAACAGGGCCAGGTATTACTTTGATATACGTATTTGTTTCTCCTATATTAAAAGAATTTCAAAAAAAAAAGACCAACTGCTATCTTATTGTACTTGCATTTTTAATTACCTCCGTTTTGATTATAAGAATAATTGAAGCTTTATTTCTGCTTATTGTCAAAGTTGATTTTGATGCCTTAATTGTCTTCATAGATAGATCAAAACCTGTTTGGCTAGTGCATGTTATGCAAGGATTTGTCCCCTTTTTAGGGGCAATATTTATGCCAAGAGGATTCCTTTAGTACTGAAGAAATGTTCAGAAGCTGAATGGAAGGAAATTAATCAGGTATTTTCAGTCCTTCTTATATCTGTCAAAAATTTGGTAATGTCCGTATCTTTTTTTTCACACATTTTGCAGTCTTATCTAGAGTCACTCTTTTTCTTTTCTCTTAAATAGGATAAAAAAACTGATATTAACATTCAGTGCTGTATTTTTAAACATTTCAGTGTTCCAGCTGATGTATTTCCATATATTGTTCACTTACAATTTTTCTCTGATCACTGATATCAATTAAGAGTATTTAAAACCTGTTTTTTCTTATTGCAGTCTGATTCATTTTTATAGGTAGACCTAAACTTAAGTAGCATGAAGTGTAACAACAGAAATGGAAAGTGGGACTTGAAAATTCAGTATGAAATTTACTGGAAGAACATATGGATGAAAGATTGTTTCAGGAGTTAATTTCCCTGTACGCCGTTTAGATGGGTGTAACTTGAAAGGCCCAAATCCACAGTAGTCCATTAGCAGTATACGCTCGTTTTCCAAATACTTTATAACTGGAGAAACAACACAAATAGTCCTGTGACAGTGTAAAGTTTAGCAGATAGATGCACAGATGTCTTTGCAGGATGAGGACCTAAGTCTGTTTTTCTTTAGTAGTGTTATCTGCTGTGGGTTTTGGGGTGTTTTTTCCCCTCGGTAATGAAAATACAGTTCTGTTACCATGGTCAGATTTCCCATCGATAGCGGGACAAGGGCAATGCCGGTGCTAAATACACACTCTGCTAAACAGTAATTGTATTTAATTTTGACTATAGCTTGATGTCTACAGCTGTCTCAGGGAGAGTGTGCAGCTACCCGACTCTTTCCCCAAGGCTGGGTTTGCTCAGCTAAGCACCTCGAAGTAGCTTGGATGGGAATGGTGCTGTTGTGGGGGAAACATTGGCCGGCGGTGCAAGGGC